CAGTAATCCTGGGACTCGTCACATTTTCAAAGGTAAATATAGCATACACTACCTACATGTACCTACTATCGGCATGCAGCATGTCAGATATACTCCAACAGCAGTATTTGACCCGCTCTCGAGCCTCTTCCATGCCTTTCCTCCGACAGGGGTTTGTAGGGCTTCAACCTTTCCCTTGTTGGTGAACAACGAGGCGGGCAAGACGTTCAATAACTCCGCGACTTTATGCGTCAACCCGTACTAGCACCGCCAACGCCCCTATGTATGCATGGTGTGACACCCTTGACCTAGCCAATGATCGTTACACTTGGCTCCAATCCTCCGTGTGGGTGCATGAATGATCGACCCTGATGGTTGGTGGTGCTCTTTTCACAATGCGATTTAGCACGGACATGCGTGTTCCTATTGTCGCGTTGCAGCTGCGAGGTCACTGAAGGGGGAGGTCTAGCCAGCCAGCCACTGCTAAAAAGAACGCCGCCGTTTTTGCAACTCGTACCACAAGATCAAAAATTTATGTCGTCGAAGTGATATGTGACCAATCTCAGCCAACCATCATTTTCTCTACAGGTCGTTAAACAGTTCAAGTGCCGTGAATTATATGGTCCACTAATGTCTCTATTCACTCCGATCTATCACTATCAAGCATGGATATTCTAGAAGATCATTCGGGGGTTTTCGAAGACCAGGTAAAGAGAAATGTTCTACGACCCCGGCTTCGGGCTTCAGCTTCCTGGCTAGTACTGTAGACAAGGCCGGCCGAGGTATGCAGTGTCAAATCACCCATCCCCGCTTAAGTCATTCAGTTAAGAGAATCTGTGTCATGGACTTCTCTTAAAATGGAAACCCGGCAAGGACCTCATCATGCGCCCTACCGCATCTTACCCGGTTTGGATCTAAGAGCTCGTTTCGAACGATGCTTCGCGATCTGGTCTCGTCTGCGACGTTACCCATGACTGGGTTCCCTTTAACCGCATTGAAACGAAGACGATTCGAAACGTGCCCACTTCGGAAGAACCTGACGCATCGGTATCCCAGGTGCTATAACAGGGATACCACGCCTATCTACTTTCAACACGCATAGGTTCCATTCTATCGGCTCTTGTGTACATAGGCAGATATCATTAGACTCTCGGTTGTCGTCATACGGAGTATTCTAGCGCCATCTAGGGCTTGTTCCTGGGGACAATAATGCCGTCGTCGATGGACCTCAGGCTCATGGATCACAGAAGCGGCTAAGCGCGTATCGCCGAGCATACACTAGAAAGGGGTTGTAACACACTTATCCGCTTCCCCAGGGCCATTTAGTTTCGTTGCACAACAGGTATAGGCCTTGCAAACTTTGACTCATATATGGAGCGTGTCACCTCAAAACGGCACTTTGGCTCGTATCGGAGACGCCACCGCGAATCTTAGCCGCCTGTTTAAGGCAAGGGAACCGCTCGGATCCGAGTACCGACAGGAACGTGCTGCCAAGCTGGGTATATTGGTTCCTATGGCCCTACGCCAACGGCCTTGTATCAGAAGCAATCAGTGGGCAGCGTAGGCTATGGGCAGTCTCGTGGCCGTTGTGTCTCTGATATTCTTGGCAGCGCTTTGAAGCTCTCGACTCCCAGCAAATACCTGTTCCTCTGTCTATACCTATATATGTAGAACCTACTGGTCGTAGAGCCGCTCAGGCTAAGCTGGCCATACATAACTGGATAATGGTAGCAAATAGAGATAGCGGCGCTTTCTTGGAACTTCCCTTTCCCAGTCCAAGAACATGCTTCTCACGATATTTCCTGCGCTGGGTTGCATATGTTTGTTTGCCAAGCTGATGAGACGGTCTGTTTGTGTGAAGGAGCTCAGGACTAGCTGGCTAATCAGGCACAAAAATCTGCCAACGGGAACAATGCAGCCGCCGAGTGCGTAGTTCTGATGCATGCTTTTGATTTCTTGTTCGTATGCTTGTCTCGTGCCCTACATATGGTTCAAGTTCATAGCTCTTTCATTACCTCGGCAACCGCCTTTGCTGCTACTCTCTTGCGCTGGTCTTCAGGTAGGCCGGCGCTTGTGTCTCGCACAGCCTGGAGCTTAACCATCATACGCTCTATCTTCCGTATCTCATCATCGTTCAGATCCTCCTCGTTATCCTTGTTGGCACCCGTGCTCGGTTCCCCATTTAGGAAATCTTCCTCATTACCCTTCCCAGCGTTCCAAATCGCTTGTCTTAGGCCGGCGAAATCCTCGCGGTCGAAGCCGAAGTCTAAGCTCTCAGGGTCGAGGTCAGGCCCATCTTCACCTTTTCCTTCAGCGCCGGCGTCTTTGCTGATGCCCAGCTCAGTCTCGAAGTCTCCAAAATCAGAGTCGAGATCTCCGCCGGATGCTTGAGACCAGTCATTTGACTCCAAGGCTTCGAGAGCGCGCGGAATGCCGGTTTTCTCTGGATTCCACGTGAGTCACCGTCTTCAAGATACCCCTTCTATATAAAGGGAATAGTAGAATAATTAGACGTACCACCAAATTCATTACGTCCCGACACGGACTGATTCCTTACTTGTACAAACTCCAACCCCCACTCCGCACAGCAGTCTTCCCACTCGTCGACATCATCAATCTCCCCTACACCCAGACATAAACCCACTCCGTCCCAGGACCAGCCGCCAAGCCCGTCCTTGACGACTTTGCCAACATTCTGGATGAGTTCACGTGCGGCTTTACTCTCGTCCGCCTGTGATTCGAGAGGTAGCGAGAAGACTATCATGACCCCTCCGAGGACGTCAAGCACCTCCTTGGCTTCGGGAGATAGAAATGAACCTGCCCATTCTGGCGGCGACGAGATGAGATCAAGCCATATGGGAACTTCAGCCGTGTAGTATGCCGTCTTTAAGGAGAGGTTGTGTGATGAGCCTGCTAGTGAAGCTGAGGTCTGCTCTGGATGACTTCCGGTGAGATCTATGTAGGTATTAGTTATTAGCGTCGGTGGTTAATTTCCTTGAGGTGTGGAGAAGGATACGCTAAAGATGCGGCATATGGCGTTGGATGAGCCCCGCGATGTATTAGGTTGAGCTTGAAGTACGAAGTTGGTGTATTTTGGCTTACCTTTGATAACTCTGGTTAAGTGCTGTGTCGAATCGGCCAACGACACGGCTAATATGCGGCGAGGATTGGATATATCCATGCCGTAGATGGTGCGAGATGATCCGATAGAATTAGTAATGGTTGGTTGGTTGGTTGGTTTGATTGATTGATGGCCGTATCGATGGTTGAGTGTAGGAGATACTTACCGGTAATGCCCCGCCATCCCGCTATCCCACCTTCCACCGATCCCGCGATAAATCCGCTATGTTATCATCCTGACTAAGCCGCTTTGCTGCACATTTACCCGGCAGTTGTGTATTGTACGTATTGTAGGTATAAGACGGTCGATAGCGATATCAACAAAGTATTGACATACGTATTTCATCAACATTTAGGTATACTCATTTAGTTTATGATATCCTTCAATACTTTAATTTTAACCCCTAATCAAATCGTCATGTCTTACCCCGAGCCATCTCAGCCAGTCTACGTGACCAGGGCTTCTGACATTAAACAATCCGGTGGTCAGACTGAGGGCATGATTCGCTCAAATGCTATTGTAGATCGTTGTGAGGGTATCTGTGCTACGCATATGCTCGCAAAGCCTCACACCTCTAGTGCCGTCCACCATCATGGAAAGCAAGATACGATAGTCCAGGCAGTCAAGGGGCGTGGCAGCATTGTTAGTGAAGGTGGAACAAAAAGAGTCGACTTGGAACCGGGCGACTTTGCACTCATTCCCGCCTTCATGGAGCACCAAGAAGTCAACGACGGAGACGAGGATGTGGTCTGGACCATAGTGAGGAGTGGGAGGATCCCTGAAGTGGTCAATCTCACGGGCTGGCACGGGGAGCCTGCAAAGAACTAGGAACCTTACGCCTTCAAGGACGAATGTGAAGCATGCGCCTGGCAGCGACACAATGCAACTGTATATATGCGACTGATATATATATGGTCCCCAATATAAACACGCCACACCACCACTCGTTCGTTCTGCAACCTCCCAGCTCTCTACGCCTCGCTAAGTTGTTATGTGCTTCTCTTATCTCTTTCAGCCCCTTCCGCCATTGTAATCAGCACCGCCCGCCCTCCTTAACCGAGCTACGATGTCCTTCTCGTCGAGATCTCCACGGTCGCGCGCATCGACCTGGATGCTATGGTGGCTGAGAACGCGTTTGACGGCACCCGATTCGATCGACACACGCGCCTTGCGCATCACCTTGGTGCCCTCGCCGATCCAGACAACCAAGATGAACTTGACCCGCTTCGATTCGCTGTCGTTTGCGTATTCGATCCTGGCGTAGCCGTACTGGGCCTGCCCGTCGTCGAGCTTCGAGGTCAGCTCCGCTAGCCCGCCCGTACCTGTCCCCGAGAGCACCAGCTTGTCGCCCACCGCGCCCGCGTACGAGAGCAGCAGCCAGTTCGTCTCATTCTTGTCCGAACGCACGGCGTCATATGCCGCTAAAACATCGGGCTGGTCAACGCCGGACATGTTGGGCGGGGATTTAATTCGGGTGGGTGGGTAGCAGTCGGAGAGAGTGGTTCGCTCGTTACTATAACATATGGGGTTGACGGGCCAAATGGCGTTGTTTTATGTAGTTGAATATCGAGTATCCTGCTCGTGAGGAGTTCCGTAGATTGAACTTCCGAAGATCTGGACCCTTTTTTTGGTACTTGTCTCAGAGAGCAATGAGTAAGGGCCGTCAGCGGCCCGTTTCTTATCAGTGCCAGCTGTAGATTGTTACCCCTATTTTATTGCCAAGAACGCTAAACAATTCAGTAGGTACACGAAAATTATGCGTTATGGGAACCTGCGATACGATTCACCAGCCCGGCTATAGAGTTGTTTCTGTTATGTATGACACGAAAAGCGCCCCTAGGACCCCTTTCAAATATCTGATGAACCCATGGGCTTGATTAAGAGAGAAAAAAGTAAAAGATGATCTCGCCCAGGCTCGAACTGGGGACCTTCTGTGTCCAACGGAGGATGTTAGACAGATGCCCTGAATGAAATATTAGTTTTATTCTTCTTTCTAGGTATACCGCCATGGAAATGTATACTCACATGACCAACTAGACCACGAGACCTATGAAGGTGCAAATCTCATGGCTTATACACTTAATTACCTAGCGTAACCCTTAGCTCCTACATATTTCACAGTCACAACACAACAGACTGATTTCCGTAGTGTACCCAATGCATTACTAAATAAATTTGGACGACTAGTAGAAGGTAGATGATGTATATCTAAGCTATGCCTCTAGTTGTCCGTCTCCTCTGGTAACGTAAGTGCTAGAAGTCTCCAGGTATGCTGTAAGATTTCCCTAAAAAGAGCGAGAAAAATAGAAGCCTGCCAATACCAACCTTGAATAAAGCACATCCAGTTTCCAGTCTGGCTAGCAAGTTTCACGGCGTACTTGCTGCCTAGCTGCTAATATATCTAACCCATTCGTTATACCAGCTATCCATCCCAAGCGACTCGTATATATCGCCATCACCAACGGTGTCACAGCGAATTCCACGTCCAACTGCCCGCCTCCATTGGACATTTTCTATAGCAGCCTCGATACATGTTTTAAATCGAATAAGACGTGTGGCTTCTGAATTTAGGGCAATTCTTAGACCCTTTTCTATCGAGGGGCTTGATGCACGCCAGCGAGTTTTCTCTAGGTCTTCCGAGGCTAGCAGCTTGACTTCTTCTCCGAGAGCAAGTTCTCGTGCCATTAGGCAAGTGGCCAAGGGAGAATAAGGGATACTAACGTCTCCTTTTTCGTAGTCGACACAAACGTGATTGATATATGGCAACTCGAATATAATACCGGAGTGGGAGAGCGACACTCCTTGGTCAATGTCGTGTGGTATGCGATCAAAATAATGGCTAAATGCCTCTCCCCAGAGGAATTTCTCGATGATCGTGATCGGTAGCCAGCGACCCATTAGCACCTCAATCTGGCGATAAGGTACGCTACCCTGATCCGTCGAGAAAAGCCTATTGTCAGCGAAGCTACCTCCTCTAAAATTTACTTTAGCATCGTCTTCAGAGTAACACTTGAAAGGCGCGAAGTACGTAAATGATCTGCTAGGCAGTTCATACTCCCGTGGAAGTCCATTAACACGAAACTTGGAGAAGCCACCGACCACGACAGCTATCCAGGTTTCGCCGAGGACGTGACTGCGAAAGTGCAGTTCAGTGGCGAGCTTGAAAGAGCGAGAGACCTGGCGACAGGTAAACCAAGCGCGTCGGAAGTCTTGCGGCTCCATAATGCTGCCGATGATCATGCTTTTGATTTCCATAGGGAGGGTGTCCCATGTGGTTTTGATTGTGCTGGTTGCCATGGTATCTGGGTACCTTAGGTAGGTAGGTAGATATTCCGTGTGACGACGTTATCTATTCGGTTGTCTATGAAAAGAATCAAGACATCCACAATGTCCTTGTGGTATTGGTAATATGTAAGGTGAGATTTTCTAGACCAAGCGGCTACTTGAGGTTAAGTAGATGCTGGTTGCTGGAAAGTTGAAAAATAGAAGAGACCGTCATGACTTGGTGTCGTTGCCTTCAGGATTGTCTCTAGCTTGTGACTTTCTCCTGGCGCTAGTGTAGTTCTCTATTCCAGTTGATTACCATCTATGATATCCATATGATTCATCATAGCGTACAGTGCTTTGTCGTTTCATACCTGATAGGAATTTGTTAGATAATTGCTCCTGGCTATTGCGCATAACTTTTACACGTTGGATCTATTTCTTGCGTGGTACACGTAAGGAAGTGATAACGCGGGTTGAAAGCTCGTTAATCATACCTACAGGATTCTATTATTGGAATCGAGTCACATAAATTTCGCAGCTAACTCAGGAAATTGTCTAGTAATAATACGAAAATGCTTTCCCAAGTCTTCATTTTCCCCTCGGGCATAGCGCTTTGAAGCTGATGAGAACATCCATGTTTACGAAGCGGCACAGCTTGCTTGAACTTCTCTAGTACGTTAGTCATAAGTACCTTGAGTAGGTGCGTAGCAGGAAATGTACTTCTTAGCATTGCGTCCTTCATTCTGCTTGCTACTGAGAATCTTTTCGGAGACCTCATTCTTTCATACTTCAGGGAAGAGATACCTATTAGTCAGGTACTGGTCTTGAATATCACAAGTCATGGCTCTTTAAGAGGGTGGTCGATTTGATAGTTTCCCTTCGCACCTGGAATAGAGGCGTCTAATACCTACGTGTAATGCTGGGAGCCCCGTTGTATCCCCAAGTCCTAGCTCGGCACAGCTGATAGAGCGATGGTCCGTGCACCATTGATTCATGTGCTGACTCCTCTCCGGCTTCTTCTACATCGGTCAGATTCTACCACTGGACCGCGATGTCATGTTTATCTGACACCATCTAAAAACATTTAGCACTTAAAAAATGCAGCCCTGGTCTGATATTGCGTCCATCACCTTCGGCGCACTCTGCGTTGCTTCCGCGTTGCCCTTCGTTGGGATCCCGTTTCCCAATCAGAGCTGGGCCGATTATTACGCGGATAAGAACAAATGGCTCGCCATGCGCAGCGGCGGTCGCCTGACAGCCAAGCAAGCCGGGCACGCGGGCGCGCTACTACGACTTGCTGTCGGATCGTGCTGTATATATCCACCAACCCGACTTGCGGCCCTGACAGCGAATGGCATCGTCGTGTGCTACGGTACGGTCGCGGCGTACCAGAACTCTAGACCCATGAGGCCGCAGTGGTCCATGCTGGGTGCCATGGGCTTGTGCATATTGCTGGAGGTGCTGTGATTGGTGGTAGTCAATGATTCCGCGAGCCACCCTACATCGGATTTTGAGGCTCCCTCGGGATAAGGCTCTTGTACTGCACGATGGCGACAATTAATTACGTACGTATTGGTGCGACTCACCATGTACAATGCCTATGCACAGTTCGCTACCCAATGATCGATTGGTCTCAGTGGCGCGGATCTTTGCGGGGGATCTTGGCACCCCTTGGGGACCAGTATACCGAGGAGATTTATGATTTATATGGATTTGGAGAGGGGCTTGGATAAAGTCGAATATGCGCGCCAACTAACTGTCAATCGTTGGCCATGTATCATTGATACAGCCAGGGCAGAGAGCTGACATCTTAAGATGCAAACGATCGTAGCCATCGTGGCGCTGAGACTTTGAGAGATCGCCATATTTCTAAATTGCCCTTGTCTACTCGCTAGGCGCTCGATTAGCCCGCTTGGAAGAAGCGTGGCTAATTTGAGGTCGGCCTATTCTCACCCCTCCGTTATTGGACAGACGGGCTTCAGCTGCAATGGCAGTGACTATTTCTCAGGTGTCCTTCGAGCACCACCGCATACCTCTGGGTATCGGTGAGGCAAGCCCTCGCATATCGTGGCGATTCGAAGGCAACTTTACGGATTGGGTCCAAAGTGGATACAGCATCGAGGTATCCCGTCACAGGCAGAACCAAACTGGGCTATCCCAAATTGAGCTATTTCACTATAACTCTTCTAATTCCGTCCTTGTGCCTTGGCCTACCGTCTCCTTAACATCGGCGGAATCCGCAACGGTCCGAGTGAGGGCTTACGGCCAAGGTGACCAACCTGATACCCCTTGGTCAGATACCGTTGAAGTTGAGACTGGACTCCTGACTCAAGAGGCATGGTCAGGGGCTGTGATGATTGGGGCAGACCGACAAACTGAGAAGAACGCTCCGCACCAACCACTTCTTTTTCGCAAGGAGTTCGCAGTGGGTAGTAAAGTGGAAAAAGCGCGACTGTACATTACTGCTTTCGGGCTCTACGAAGCTTCCATCAATGGTAAAAGAGTCGGCAGCGCGGTGCTCGCGCCAGGCTGGCAGTCATACAATACCCGACACGTCTACGATACATATGACGTTACGGACTTGCTCCTGGCCGGAGATAATGTCTTGGGCATAACAATAGGAGAGGGTTGGTTTTCCGGGCTGCTTGGCTATGGATCTGGTGGGAGACGTAATCTATGGGGCGATACACTTGGGACTCTGGCACTACTTACTATTTCCTTGTCGAATGGGACTAGGATTATACGAACTGACAATACGTGGGCTGCAAGTACCGGGGGAATAATCACCTCCGAACTTTACAACGGTGAGGTGTATGACTCAAGGCTGGAGCAAACCGGCTGGTCAACCCCTGATTTCCAGGCGTCAGAAACAGCAGCAGAATGGATTGGCGCCAAAGAACTCAAGACTCCTTACGAACAATTGGCCGCTCCTGATGGTCCCCCTATCCGCCGTATTGAAGAGGTAAAATTGCAGGAAGTACTGACCAGTCCAAGCGGAAAGACAATTCTTGACTTTGGACAAAATCTCGTTGGCTGGCTTCGACTGCGAGTGTCCGGCCCAGAAGGAACAGAGATCCAACTAAAGCACGTCGAGGGTAAGGCAATACCCCATTCTCTATAGGCTGTAGGTGAGATACTGATGGCAATTTAAGTTCTCGAAAACGGGGAAATTGCAACGAGACCTCTCCGAACTGCTACGCAGACAGATCACATCATACTCTCTGGCGAAGGTGTCCAGACTTGGGAGCCAACCTTCACTTACCATGGATTCAGATATGTCCAAATAGATGGCTGGCCAGACGATACCCCTTTAGACGTCACAGCTATCGTTGTGCACTCGGACATGCAAGAGACTGGTTTCTTCGAGTGCTCGGATGAACTCATAACGAAGCTAGAGAAGAATGTCAAATGGAGCATGAAAGGTAACTTCATGTCCGTGCCAACTGATTGCCCTCAAAGGGATGAGAGATTGGGTTGGACTGGGGATAGTCATGCATTCGCCCCTGCTGCTAATTGGTTGTATGATACTTCTGGTTTCTGGAGAGGTTGGATGAAGGACTTTCGATCAGAGCAAGTGAAAGGTCAGTTTACATTTCCTATGTGCCCTCATTGGAGGAATAGGGCCCTTTTACTTGTTATTAAGCCGTAACTAACACTCTTCAGGCGTTCCTCCACTCGTGGTTCCAGCAGTCCCTGCGGCTGGGCCGGTGGTGTCTACGGCGGTCTGGGGTGACGCCATCGTCGCGAACCCGTGGAACACATATCGTTCCTCTGGAGACCT